GCCCCCCCCCCCTCCCCCGTGAGCTCCTCTTCCCAGGAAAAGTTATTTTTGTCCTCCCTGCCCTCTCCCAGTCTCTGGAAGCTCCCCCAGGAAACAGAATTTTGGAAGGAACGGGAGCTGAAATAACTCATGTGCTATTTATCTTTCACCATCAGAAGCCTCATCAATCCCGAGGCAGCTTTTGCCTTTTATTTCTTAATCTGTTTGCATTTGATCTCACATTTTGTGCAAAGAGCCTCGGGGAGAAAATTCCAGGCCCTGATACGTTAGTCTGAGAATTCGCTTGCTTGGAAAGAGGAGCAACACCCCAAGATGTGCCAGGGCCTGCACCCTTCCAAGAGCCAGGCACGGCGCCTCCTCAGCCTGGCACCCTGGGCTGGATGCTGGGGTCACCGTCCATGCCCCCGGTTTTTACCTCCTAAAATCATTCCAATTTTAGTTCCATGCAGAGTCTTTGGACTGGTTATGAGGGCACAGAAGTGGTTTGTCTTTCTCATCGCTCTGCCTCCATCACCAAGGACCACATGCACCTGCTCATGTCAGCCCAGTGAGTGAGGCCCAGACCACCAGGGTCTTCTGTGCCCTCCGGCCTCATTCCCAGGCTCCAGCCTCCCCTGCCCAAAGCGCCCAGAGCTGACAGAGCAGTTTCCACAACAAGGCAACACCAGACAATGCCAGTAGTTAGACAAGCCACCAATGGAGAGGGAGGAAGGGACAGAGGAGAGAAGAAAATCAGGGGAGCCACTTGCTTGGTGAGGCAACAAGTCAGCCTCCTGGCTGTGGCCGCCTCTCACACAGGGAGACAAAACCCAAGCAAAGGGGACAGACTCTAAGTGTTCACAGAACACCTCCAAACACAATAAGGCCGAGTGTCGGTGGATGGGAGAACAGGGAGAGACTCTTGCATGGGTGACCCTGGGACAGCCCTCGGGTGTGGCACCCCCTTCATGTCTGCCTAGACACAAACTCCCAGGCCTCCCATCTCAGGCCTGGTCTGGTCAACTGCGGCCCTGGCAGAACCGTCTGGTTGCTCTTCACCTCCAGACGTGTCACCTGCACATCGGTCACTCAGATGCCAACAAAACCCCAGCTTCACCGAGGGCCGCCTGACCACTTATCCCTTCCCCATCCTTGTTTGATGCCCTCATCAAAAAGCTGGTAAAACTGCTCCTTTAGACGCTTCCTGAGCTGTCGGCATTTCAAAGAGCACAAAAACGTTCACTCCTAGTTGTGGGTGCACGTGTCCACACACCAGGTCAGGAGGTGTGTGAGAGCACCCTCTCAGCAAGGTGGGGCTCACGGGATTTTTAATAGTTCAGTTAGACACGGACTTAAAAGAAACTGCTTGTTTTATTTTTATTTTTTTAATTTTTATTGGAGTATAGTTGATTTACAATGTTGTGTTAGTTTCAGGTGTAGTGAATCAGTTACCTTATAATTGTTTCCAATTTTTATTTTTTGCCCAATGGTTGGCATTTGTTGAGTGATTTTGACTCACTACATGGATGTGACTGTAGATATATTTTTCCTAGTGGACCACTGTCATAGTCAGAGCTGCCCATCATCTTTTTTTTAATTTACTGAAGTATATTTATGTATAATAACCTGCACACAGCTTTAACATTTAGCTCAATGACTTTATCTATGCACGGACAATGAACTTAGGTTCCAGATCATGACTTAGAACGTTCTCTGCCGCCCTGAAGTCCCCCTCGTGCCAACCCCCCACTAGGCGATAACCCTCTGAAGGTAACCCCTCTTCCCACCTCTCTCTCACCCTGGGTCATGGGTGCCCGTCCTTGAACTTCAGGTGAATGGAGGCTGCTTTAGCTCCACCTTGTTTCTGTAGGATCTTTCCACACGGTGTGTAGAGCTGTGATTGTTTCTTTCTCGTGCTGCGTAGGTGTAGGTTATTTTTTACCTGATGCTTCAGCTCCTTTCCAAGTTTAGCGTAAGCCAAGAATAACCAAACCATTGCCTCTGGATCAGAGACAAGTGACCTCCCAGATTGGCTCGTTTTAGAAGGAACTTCAGCTGAAACTGAAACAGTCATGGGCTGCTTCTCAAACCGGTTACACCACCCGGGGGTAACTGCAGGACAGCCGGTCACCTGGCAAACTTAGGGGGTTAGGCTTTTCAAGACAAGCCTAGAAGAATTCCTAAGGTGAGCATAAAATTTGGAGGCAGCTTTTAATGGAAAAAGCACAACCCAGTTCATGTACATTCTTTCCATCCCCTGTTTCTTCTAAATGGGAGGAAAGTAGAGTTAAGGTACTGTCAAGAAAGATTCCCTCCCCCGCCCTCCCCCCCAGCTGGGGCAGAGCCATGGAGGATCCT